ATTTATAATTTATGTTATTTTCTTGAATTTTTATGATTATATATATATTTAAATTTTCTATATATTTATTTTTTTGTAATTTATATTATTTTCTTCATTTTATGTGTTTTTTCATAATTATTTTGCAATGGCATATATAAAATGGGAAAAAATAGAAGGTTGAGGGTAAAGTTGGAAAGTAAAATCAAGGTGTTTCAACCAAGTCAATTGCAACATTCTCATTTTTTTAGTATGGTATAGAAATTTCTATGATTTTCTATATTATTTTCTTTATTTATGTTTTTCATAATTACTTTTCAATGACAATATATACAATGGGAAAAAAAATAGAAAGTTGAGGGTAAAGTTTGAAAGTAGAATTATGATATTTTGACCAAACCAATTGCAACATTCTAATTTTTTTAATATAAAATAAATATGGTATAGAAAAATTTTGTGATTTTCTATATTTTTTGTGTATTTCTTTGTAATTTATATTGTTTTCTTCATTTTGAAGAGAAAGGTGTGTAGAATAAGAGAGATGCCATTTATGCTTCCTCCATCATACTGTCAAGTAGGGGGAATGGATAAAATATAAACTGGGGTTTTAGAATTTATGTATTCACTTCATGTGTGAATGAAGACAATTGGCCTTTTGCCTACTGTTGTTCTGCTCATCAATGGTGGGGTCGTTATTTGCATATCTAACGACTAGCATATGGATATAAATTGATCATGATTCATTTATATTCAGATTCGAATTGAACATCCATCATTTATATAAAAGAGTCCAGATCTCTTACTAACAAAATGCATTCCAAACCCTTATGACTCTACCAAGTACTAAACCCCTATAGTATTACGTTGTAGAGTGTCAAATTAATGGACTGGCTTAATGATCATCGATAAAACATACTCTAGAACAAATCAATATAATGAACCTGAAAGCATTTCTCATTTAATTTCTATCAAATTAAATAAAAAAAAAAGAGGGAATCGGTGTATAATGCTTGGAGGCCAAAGAAATAAAAAATGTTTGTGTGAAGTGGCCCATATACTGAATGGTTTGGATCAATGGCTTCGTCCCTTGAAAAAGGATGAAATAATGTAAGGTTTGTCAGATTGGAATCAACTTATAGGGGGGGCAAATGAGTGGGTTGGGTTGTGCTGAATGAGGGTTTACCCATCACCTACATGACGTAACCTACATTTCTAAGTTTTATCTATATTTTTAAAATGTGCGCGGCACCTAACTCGATCCATTTGAATATTTAAGCCTACGTAAATATATTTTATTAATGATGATGATGCAAATATATACCGATCCCATGTACTTGAGACAAGGTTTAAACGATGATAATGATTACTGTTGAGAAATTTTTTTTATTGAAAAGATTTACAAACCAACTTATTCCATGAAATTACCTATCAAAATACTTCTTTTGCTGATCCAAATGGATAATCATAATCCAACCTAATCTGTGGATAATTGGCCCAATGACCAATGGATTTTTTTTGGTAAATAAATCAAAAAAACCAAAATAAGATCAGAACTAAGTCTCCAACCAATGACGGCCTCTTGCGGCACAGCCATACCAGCCAACTGTGCGAAAACAAACTGCTGCCACTTTGTGAGCTATCCGATTAGCACTCCTGCTAATTCATACGAAATAAAAAGCTTGGAACCGACGAGCTAAGTCTTGAATATCTTTCAGGATTGGACCCACTTCACTTTGAAAACTTTCTCGCTCTTGAGATTGACAATCTGATTCTGCTATATTAAACAAGAAAACCCTGCACTCACCGCTTTTACAAGACCTTTTCTCAAAGCCAAGGCCTTTAAAGTTAACACTGGAGCTGGGTGAGTACGTCTACCTCCTGCTGAAATCAAGGATCCATAAGCAGATCTCAAAACAAAACCTATGGCTACTTGAGAGCGATTTAGCTTCCTAGAAGTGTCTGTATTTAGTTTGATATAACCAGGCGGAGGCTTTTCCCAATGAACTGAAACTGTGTTTAATTGGTTGTCTTTGAGCACCACCGAAAGACTCTTCTTCTATTTGCTCAGAAATTAAAGCTCTAGCTTTTTCTATTACTAAAGTCGAATGATCATTATCCCCTTGAAAGATTAAATTATTCATCAACTTCCAAATAAGCCAACAACTTATGGAAATCACTCTACTCTTCTCCTCACTATTACTTGAAGTATCAGTCAGATGAGATGAGATCCATTGATGAAAAGCAACTTCTACTGTAGAAGAGGATGACACAAAGATATTAAGACCAAACCAGATGGCCCTAGCAAATGGGCAATGAAGCAACATGTGATTTAAAGTTTCAGCATTCTCTCCACATCTTTGACATACATCTTCTTCCACTAGGTGTCTCTCTTTTAACTTAGCAATAGTAGGAAGTATATCTTTGAGGCACCGCTAGATGAAGAATTGGATTTTTGGTTGAACTTTGATAGACCAAACCCTCTTCTACGTTGGAGCAAGGGAGGTAGAATCTTGGAAATTTTCATTTGAGTTTTCAAGCAAAGCCAAGTAATAAGCTGATTTTACGGAGAACACTCAATCCATTTTCCTCCACATCTTAAATTGATGGATTTGGGTGAATTATAAACCGATGGTTGGATGGTTCAACAGGGTTGGGCTAGAAATTAGTTATCAACTCTTTAATCTAAGGTGGCGTTCGATAGCACTGAATGGAGCTACGAACGTTGAATTTTTTGCTTTTTAATGCTTCAGGGTAGGGGTGCAAATGGATCGGATGATGATTCGAGGTCCAATCCTATTTGGTCAAATTCGAATCACCTTTGATCGGATCTTCAGATAAAATCGGATGATAGGATCTGATAAAAAATCAGATCGGATTCAAATCACCCCTTATCTGATACGATATATATTATATATTTAAAAATATAAATATACATAATAGATATATATATATATATATGTTATTTATTTATTTATAAATATATTTTTATAAATTTTTTATATTATTTTTTTATAAAAACATGTATTTATATAATAAAAATAATTAAAAAATATTTCTATTTTTACTTTATTTAAATTAGTATATTTTATTTTTCTTTTAATAATTTATTAATTTTTAAAGAAAACAAGTTGGATCAGGTCATATAAAAAAATCCGACAATGATAGGATTCGAATTCAAATCAATCCTATCAGATTCAATCGGATCTTCGGATTGAATCAATCTAACATGAACAATGTCGGATCGGATTTGAATATATGAATCAGAATATATTCAAATTCGATACTACTTTGAGAACCTTTGAACTGATCATCCAAACACTGAAATTTCCTCTGAATTATTCAAACGTTGAGCTACCTCTAAGTGCATTCGGAGGCAACAAACGAAAATGGTTTTCAACCCATGCCCTTTGATAAAAAATATCCAACTATTCATCTTCTTCATTTTCGAACCATTAAAAAAAATTGGAGGTATATGAACTGTGATCGAAGATTGGAGACTAGCAATCAAAATCACAGATCAGATTGAAAACAATGAGCTTCTAGTGATTGACAACTGACAACTAGCAACAAGAAAAACATAGATTGGAACAAAGAAGATGGGCTTCTGATGACTGGCAACCAAAATCATTGATTATTAGACTGATGACGATGGGCTTCTGATGATTGGTGACTGACGACTAGCAGCAAAAATCATAGATTACTAGACTAAAGATGACGAGCTTCCGGTGACTGGCGACTGGCAACTGGCAACTGGCAACCAAAATCATAGACCAGGTTGAAAACAATGATCTTCTAGTGACTAGCGACCGGTAATTGGCAACCAAAAATACATATTGGATTGAAGACGATGGGCTTCCGATGACTGGACCGACAACTGGCAACCAAAAATGTAGATTAGATTAAAGATAATGGGCTTCCGATGATCGACGACCGATAACTAGCAACCAAATAGACTAATGATGATGGGCTTCTGATGATTGATGACCAACGACTAACAACGAAAATCATAGACGATGGGTATCTCCTTTGTTTCAACCTCTCTGCCACCAACTTTAGCATACCTTGTCTAAAAACCCTACTAGCACCTTATCGGTGTTAGTATTTGTCAATTTCATATATATATATATATATATATATACTTATTAGGTTGACACTTGATACATATAGGTCTATGAGAGTGTTTTGTAAGTTGGAGATAGACTCCTATTTGGAGTGGGGTTTTAAGTGTGATAGGATTGGATTGAGATTAGTTTGATGGGGAACTAATCTCAATCAGTGATAAGAATTGTTAGTCTTGGTCACCTATGGATGGGGGTTATAAAAACCACATAGTGGTTCTGGACCCATCACTATTGGCCTCAAGATTCAGAGAGACCAGTGAATTAAAATAGTTGATAAAAAAAAAGCACAACACAAGCATTCAACAACAATGGCCAGAACATAGAGTAGAATCCAAACAAGTATGACCTTTCGGATATGATTTCTTATTTTGTTTCAATGTTCGTCATTGAATGAGTTTTATAGCTTGCAATGGATGACCAAATTCGTCGTCTTGATTAAAGACAACCTTAACATCAATATCTAAGCACCTCTGTTTCAATTTAAAAGTGTCGAGAGGTTTATTTCATTAATATCATTTTATAATATTTTATATAATATTATAAAATTTCAATTATTTTGGTTTATTATTATTTAAATAACAATATAGTAGATAAATTTGTAAAATAAAACTTTTTATATCACAATATTTAGATAACCGAACAAGTCTACTGTATTCAAAATTTCAAATATCTGCAAAATCACAAAAGTAAATTTTTCATTGAATATTTTTCGAATTTTTTTTTGCCTTTGAGACTTAAAACTTCAGATTTACCGGACACCACCTAAAAGCCTAAAAGCAGACCACTTCAGGAAAAAAAGGAGTCGTTTGTTTGACTTAAGAACCTGCTAGAATATGGTAATTCCGTGGATCACCAAGGGTATTTTTTTTTTCCGACAGAGAAAAAATTAATAAAGAGACCTTAATTCTCTGGGGTTGGGTGCGGTGGTTCACCGAAGCTCTGTAACGCTGCTTTTCAAACACCCTTGCACACTTAAGGCCTAGCGTTACCTTCCCATCAACTTACAAAGAATCTCCTGCTGTTACCCAGATTTTGAAACTAGCCAGAGGAGAAAATAACTTCGGAAAAAAATCACAAATTTAAGATGGGATCTGGGAGTTTTCTCAAGGTGGTGGCCAAGAACTTCGACGTTCTTGCCGGGTACGTATTCTCTGTTTAGAATCTGTGAAGAAAAGAGAGGCGAGAAAATGCATGTTATATGACGGTTTTTCAGCTTAACTCATCGTTATCAAGTTTGTTTATTTTCAACATTTTTTTGCAGAAGTCATGTTTCTTTTTCTTCTTCTTTTATGTTATCGTAGTTCATTCGTTTCTCTCTTTCTTTGCTTCGGTTTGATTTCTTTTCTTAATTTTGTGATTTGGTTGCAGACCTCTGATTACTCTGGTGTATCCTCTGTAAGTGGGGTTTCTATTAATTTTCTTCTCAGAAAATTAAAATTGGCAATTTTGATTTTGAGTGAAAACCCATTTTTGAGTGCTTTTTTTTACAGATACGCCTCAATTAGAGCAATAGAATCCAAGTCCCGTCTCGATGATCAGCAGTGGCTCACTTATTGGATTCTTTATTCTATGATTACTCTCTTTGAGCTTACCTTCGCAAAGGTCATAGAATGGTAACTTTACCCCCAATTAACTATTCTGTATAATATGCTCGCGATTTTGGCGGTCGTTCAGATCCTGTTCTTTTGCTTTAATTTGGATTGGCAGTACTAGTATCGTCAGAAATTAATGGTTAAAAACTCGGATATAGGTGGAGTTTGTGCCCTTGGGTATAAATGCTTTTTGATATTTCTCTCATGGGTTTCTTCTCTAAGGCTATGTTTGGTTTTCTTCTCTAATCCTTTCCCTTCCTTTCCCTGCATTTTCCTTTAAACCAAACATAGCCTAAAAGTTCCCCATCATTGCTGTAAAAAATGTTTATTTATTTATTATTATTATTATTTATTATTATTTTTTTTTGGGGGGGGGATGTTTGTAGTTTTAGAGGAAAATTAAAACCACACCCCCTCTTTCATATAATTTGTAATCTCTGATACTTCTCAACATCTTGAATATTGAAGAGATGAATATGCAACATTGTAAGATACTTTTGCTCCGTCCCCTTTGATGATGCAAATGGGGTGAAAAACAATGTCAACTGAAACTGCACCTTTTATGGTGAAAGCCTTGCTATCTGCCCCCTCTACATTTAAATAAACACAACGGTTGGGTAGAAAAACCGAGGAAAAGATGCTGGTAGACCTCCTTCCTTAATTTTTATGTTCTTCCCATTCCCATGAGACATGCTAGAAATAGGTATTTCGATCACCCATAAGAATATTACTGCATATAAACAACTCCTGGCTTGATCAAATTCCGCATGGCTGTTTTTCATTTCTTTGTTTTATATCATTATTATTTTTTTTCTTTTGAGAATGTAACTTCAGAAACTATCTTAGCAAAAAAAAAAAATGTAACTTCAGAAACTACAATCCTTCACTTGAACTTCCTTATCCTATGGCAGGCTCCCCTTTTGGCCTTATGCAAAACTGATTGTCACCTGCTGGTTGGTCTTGCCATACTTCAGTGGGGCTGCTTATGTTTATGAGCATTTTGTTAGGCCTTTCTTTGTAAACCGGCAGACAGTTAACATCTGGTATATCCCAAGGAAGAAGGATGTCTTCAGTAAGCCAGATGACATTCTTACTGCTGCAGAGAAATACATTGCAGAGAATGGACCAGAAGAATTTGAGAAGTTAATTCACAGGGTATGTATAATGACTTTTAAGTGATTATTTCAGAAATAGTTTTATCTCCTGTTCAGTGGTAATCACAGTGCACTCAATAACCAATTTTTACCTTTCCATTAAATGGGAAAGACTAATGAAACTCTTTTTCTTTTTTTTTGAAAAATGAAAACAAAGTCATGGGTATGGAAGATGAATAGAAAAAAAAAGATGAATATCACAGTTACTAATTTTGATGCAGCAATTTAATTCTTTTTTCTTGTGATACTAGAACTTGTTGGAATATCTTGTAATTAGGAATTCAAGTAGGTGGTGTACTGCCTTGAAATGATAATATCATCTCTTATGTAATCACAGGATTTATTCACTAACTTCGATAATGCATTTGGAGTTGCTCTGGGTGGGTGGGTGTGCATATCATAAATCAATTACAATCCTAGTTATCCAAGTCTGCACAAATCAACCCCAAATACCACATTCTTTTATGCAGAAAATTAATACATGTGCTAGTTAAATATAGGTCCACTAGTTGGATAACAATGTAAGAAATGATCCAGCAACTTGTAAGCTCTAATTTTGTTGGTTAGTATGAGAGAGAATTAACTGATTGAATTTTTGAGAAATGAGGGCTCAATTCCAATACCTTTATTATTTTTTTTATCATCATCATCTAAGCCTTGTCCCAACTATATGGGGTCAGCTACATGAATCCTGTTTAACAAGTCCGATCTGTTCAGTGTCATGTCCATGTCAAACTATGGGTGCTTAAGTAATTTCTTATTGCTTTCACCCAAGTCTTTTTTGGTCTGTCCCTAGCTCTTCTAGACAATGTTGTCAAAATCTTATGATTTGCGATAAAACTCATGATTTGAATCATGAATCCCAAGGGTTTCGATTTGAATCTTATGTCTGAATCCTTTTCTGCAAAAATCTTACAGTTTTGTTTGAATCCTACAATTTGATTCATAAGTCATACGATTTATATGATTTATATGATTCAAATAAATTCAATTAAGAATTAGTTCTCTACTTTGTTTTTTTTTTTGTTTATATTTAGTTTTGCTAGGGGAGACTTTTAAAGCCCTTACTAGAAAATGATTTATTTATGTTATCTAAGACTAGAAATTGAGTTTATTTTCCATCATATGTAGGTCAAAGAAGCATTGTATGTGGATTTCTTTGACTTTCAAGTCAAAGTTGGTTATATCATCTTAGACTTTTATTGTATAAGTGCTAAATTATATTTTTTTAGGTACATATATGCTATATATAGATTAAAAATAGGGTAAATCCACTTTCCTATATGTATTTTAGCCTTTTAATATATCTATGTTTAATTTTTTTGACAAGCTTGTAAAAAATAGAAATGATCTTACGATTTATGATACAATTCACAATTCGATTTGATTCAACTTTCTCTATGATTTACGATACAATTAAAATTTTCAGAACATTGCTTCTAGGCTCTTCTACTTGTAACAGATCATTTTTTTTTTCTAATAGGTGTTGTCAATGGTCTTTTATGCACATCACCAAACCATCTCAATCTACTTTCTCTCATTTTATCACCTGTTGGAGCTACTCATAGGTTCCTTCATATGATTTCATTTTTAACATTGCCCTTCAAGTTTTATCACTCATCCATCTAAGCATTCACATTTCTGTTGCACTCATTTTTTGAACATGTTGTTTCTCAATATCTTTTTTTGATAGTTGATGAATCAATTTTTGGTGATGTATCAATTTTGTGTGCTAAGTACCTCGTCATTTGGTCTGCTTCCAAGTGGTTGATGACTCAGAGGCCGAAGTGAACTTTTGCTGGATGAGGACCTGGATGCCGAGCTGACCAGGCCAAGTTGGGGGAAAATTAGGTGTTGAATTGACTGGGTCGAGCTAGGCAGGTTAGGTGACGAGCTGACTGGGCCGACCTAGGCAGGCTAGGTGATGAGTTGACCAGAGTGCCGAGTTGACCAGAGGGCCGAGCTGCCTATTAGTTGCCGAGCTAACCAGAGGGTCGAGCTGCCTATTAGTTGCCGAGCTGCCCAGAGTGCTGAGCTACCTGGTGGTAAGTTGGATTGAGTGTTGAGCTTCGTAGTTCTTTAGAGACCTTCAAGGAATCAATGCCAGAGGACCCGGGGTGGCTAACCCGGCGAGGTCGCTCCAATGCTTAAGTCAGTACTCTCATAGTAGACTGCAAGCTAAAATTCTCAAAGTATGAGAGCTAGAATTTGCTTACTTGCCCCCCTCATGTCATTGGGGTTGGTGCCTTTATATAGGCATAGTTTGGCGTGGGTTTCATGCACCGCATCCGAGATTTCCGAGAAGTCATCTAAGTGGTCTGTGATTCCCTAAGGTAATCGCCATGCACGTTGACCACCCTCCGGATCGTTCGGCACGTGGGCCAACTTCCAAGGATCGTGGGAGTGTTTGGATATGCATGCCGAATTTGTTGGCGAGCATGTCTCGCAGGTCGCCAGGTTGGCGCCTATGCCAGGCCGCCAGGTGGGACACCATCAACTTGGCTAAGGCAAGTTGTTGCCTAAGTGGTTCCGGGTGTCACCTAGTTGTTCCGAGGTGCCATGTGTCACAATATCATTGGAGGGCCAAATCCGCCCTCATCATTTGCCCCCCACTCCCGAGTTGAAAGTAACTTGGCGAAGGGAGTAGATTGCTTCTTTCGGCCTGAAATGACTAATTCGATGAGCTCGTAAGCGTTGATTCAATTCCTTAGGCTCTGGGAGCGACTCACAGTCCACTCTCCTTACCCTTGATTTTGCCCATGCCGAAGAGGCGACTGGGTCTTATGTGGTGCCGAAGTCTTTGCCAGTTCGGCACTTTAGCCCTTAGGCTCTGGGAGCGATTCGTAGTCTATTCTCCTTGATCTTTGATTTTGCCCATGCCGAAGAGGCGACTGGGTCTTATGTGGTGCCGAGGTCTTTTATCAGCTCGGCACCTTAGAGCTATGGCTGCACTGCATCAGCCTCGTTAGTGGTATCGGTTACCCACTCCTACAAGAAGCTACTAGGAGCTCGACTTACAGGGGCAGCACTACTAACTTTAGGTCACCAGCTCGCACGGGAGCCTTGGAAGGCTTGACCGGCAAGGGCGTCCATGCAGTTCGTTGGTCGCCTACTCCCGCGGAAGCCATGTACCTCGCAAAGAGGACTGATGAGGCTTTATCCGAGTTGAAATAAAGTTGGTAGAGTTGCTTAGTCTATTGGTCATCAACTTCCTGGTCTTTGAGTTCATAAAAAATGGAAACTAGAAAGCGAGAGCTTTTAGTTTCTAAAAGGTGAGAACTTAGCTTTTTGGAAGAGGAGGACACAGCCTTTCAGAGGATGAGAACTTAGCTTTTTGTAGCGATTCCCACAGACGGCGCCAATTGATGGATCAATTTTTTGTGCTAAGTACCTCATCATTTGGTCTGCTTCCAAGTGTCCGGTGACTTGGAGACCAAAGTGAACTTTTGCTGAATGAGGACCTGGATGTCGAGCTGACCAGGCCGAGTTGGGGGCAAATTAGGTGCCAAGTTAAATGGGCCGAGCTGGGCAGGTTAGGTGTCGAACTAACTGGGTCGAGCTAGGCAGGTTAGGTGACGAACTGACTGGGCCGAGCTAGGCAGGTTAGGTGACGAGCTGACCAGAATGTCGAGCTGCCTATTAGGTGTCGAGCTGACCAGAGGGCCAAGTTGCCTATTAGTTGTCAAGCTGGCCAGAGGGCCGAGCTGCCTATTAGTTGTTGAGCTGCCCAGAGTGTTGAAAAGCCTGGTGGCGAGCTGGATTGATTATTGAGCTTCGTAGTTCTTTAGAGACCTGCAAGGAATTAATGTTAGAGGACCCGGGGTGGCTAACCTGACGAGGTCGCTCCGATGCTTAAGTCAGTACTCTCATAGTAGACTACGAGCTAAAAATCACAAAGTATGAGAGCTAGAATATGCTTACTTGCCCCCCTCATGTCATTGGGGTTGGTGCCTTTATATAGGCATTGTTTGGTGTGGGCTTCACGCACCGCATTCAAGATTTTTGAGAAGTCGTCTAAGTGGTCCGAGATTTCCTAAGGTAACCGCCATGCATGTTGACCACCCTCCAGATCGTTCGGCACGTGGGCCATTTCCAAGGATCGTGGGAGTGTTTGGATATGCATGCCGAATTTGTCGACGAGCACGTCTCGCAGGTCGCCAAGTTGGCGCTTGTGCCAGGCTGCTAGTTCGTGCTTGGTTCAGGCCGCCAGGTCGGCGCTTGGGCCAGGTCGCGCTAGGGCCAAGCCGCCAGGTCGCGCCAGGGCCAGGCCGCCAGGTGGGACACCATCAATTTGGCTAAGGCAAGTTGTTGCCTCCGGGTGTCACCTAGTTGTTCTAAGGTGCCATGTGTCACAATATCATTGGAGGGCCAAATCCGCCCTCATCAATAGTAAATATTAAAAAGAAGAAAATTAGGGGAAGGTATAGAAGTGTATAGGCTTTGCAACTCAAGCACCAACAAGAAAACACCATCCGCATCAAAGAGCATTTTTTTATTGATAAATCAAAGAGCCGTATTTCAGAAACCAGAAAGAAAAGATACCTGTCAGCCCTTTAGGTTGTCATTCCTTTAGAGCAATTGACCCCTCCCCTTACTATACCACAAGATGTGTCATCGCTGAATTTGAAGCCTGGCCTGATTGGAAGAACTATGCAATTGTTATTTTTAGGTCTTGAACTATGTATACTTGTATGCTTGTACAGGGGTTCTGTATAGTCTCTGATACTTCAATTTGTAGTGTAAATTTTGTATTCGATACCATATCCAGCTGTGTCTAGGTAACATGGGCCTGTCTATTGTTCAAACTTACAAACCGTGGTCAGGTGCCACACCGTATTTTTTATTCTTTTTATTTGAGTCTGGTCAATGGAACTGAACCCTATGTAACCTTTTAAAACTTGTATGAATTTCTATGACACTTTTAACATGTTAATAACCGAGTCTGGACATTTCCCCTCATTATTTTATCTTTTATGTTCTTGTTATTTTGCTGGAAAAGATGAAACACTTGCATGAAATGAGTGCTCTGTGTGTGTGTTGGTGGGGGAGGGGACAATTCATCGGGGTTTAATTATTATAGACTTTAGGGTGAAGAGAGGATACAAAATCATGGTTTGGTATAATTTCCTATAAGTTAAAATAGTTAGTTGTCTTCTTTAATAATAGGAGATTCAACTTCAGCACTTCCGAGGGAATCTGCCCTTGTAGTATGGGTTAAATGCCAACAAGTATCCTAGCACTAGTGGTGGTGTGAATGCACCCATACTATCACAGTTGCGCACCCAAGAGAATAATCCAATTGATGGCTCAAAATATTGATACTCCGGATACACAAGGCATTTCTTTTAGTTTTTTTTTTCACTTTGATAATTCAAATATGGATATATTAAGACGAATATTAATGTTTAAACCTATTGAAAGGGCATAACTTGCAGTATTTGTGACCCTGAAAACCTGTATGTATCATACTGTATGATATCTATCAATACTTTGAACCTTGATGATGAGTAATTCGGGCATTTAATGGCAGTTCTAAACTCACTAAGAAACCAAGGATCAAAATTTCGTATCATATCGGACTGTATCGACCAATATGTATCGTATCAGAAGTCTCCTGATACACCCCTACATGGAGTGCTTCATGGGATCAGGTTCACAAAAAAAAGGCCCTGAACCTTGTATGAAAATTATACTGACAACATATTGGTTTCATGAATGTTCAATGGACCCTATCCGTTTTGGTTATATAATTCAATTTATTAATTTGATATTGCAGGCTGACAGAGAAACAACATCAAGAAGGAATGACAATTACATGATCTTTGACGATGACAACAGGTATTGAGCATTGTAATTTCGTATACACTGTCTTCATGAAGAGTAACTAAAGGTGAGACAAAATACACCTCTAGTCTCTAGCTGAGTTGCGTCTCTGGTCGATGGCCATCGTTGTTCAATATTGTTTATATTGAAAGATAACTCCTGTTTATATGATACACATGTAATTATGTGGTTTGCTACTCTTTACCTTTCAGAGATGAAGATTAATTTTTATTTTCTTTTTATTTTGATGGCGATGGGATTCTTTAAAATGTTATTTATAACATCTCCAAAGTATTGGTATCGTGTATCTTATTGGTCAGTTTAGACGTTTAGATACACAGGTGCGATGGAAAGATATGGATACCCTTAAAACTTTTACAAATCCCATAATACATTAATAGCACTAAGTCAAAGTTTGAAATAATTATAAATAAGGCATACACATAAAAAATGCATCCTTTAATGGTTTATACGAAGAAATAAATTAATATCATCTGGTGCAAGGGCACATGTTATGATGTGCAGGTGTACCAGTATTAACCACATGACATGGTATTTGGATTTAAATTTTATGACCTGCATGGTAGTGTGCAAGTATTAACCACATTATGTGGTGTTTGGATTTAAATTTTATGACCTGCATGGAACTCAAGGCAAATATCCAATTTTGTATAGCATTGATATAGCAAGACACAGATAATATAATTAATAATGCATCATCAATCAACGATCTTAAACAAATACTATAGTTTTTTACAAATTATTACATGCATGAAGTCATTAATATGTTATTATTTAGGGAAAATCTATGATACAAGAAGAGATTTGATTAATTAAAGCAACCCCATGAGTTTGATGAATAACACCTGATTGGTCACTTCTTTTATGAAACTGGTTGATTGATTGTAAGTTTTTTTTTTGGTATCATAGTTGAACAATATTATTTATTTAAGTTAAACTATTAATTAATAATTACATAAATGTGTAATTAATCTAGAAAATATTTGGATTCACAAGAATGTAAAAGATCCAAGACATAAATCATATGTAACTATTATATTTTGATTACTAAATTAATTGTTTTTTATTTTATTATTTTTATTGCCATATATTAACAGAAATAAGTCAACTTAATCTTAAATTTTAAATATTTTGAAAATACTTTTATTTTTATAAATAATATGTTGTTATTCATTGGAAATTACAATATTAATAAATATATCCATTAGAATTTTTAAGATACATATCATATGCAAATTCATAAATTTTAATTAATAAAATTTGGTTCTAGTACTAAAAATAGTTTTTATGGTTTAGTATTTTGATAGATCATCATCATCATCTAAGCCTTGTCCCAACTACATGGAGTCAGCTACAAGAATCCTGTTTTGTCATGTAAAACAACATACACACATTGTATCATACCATTTGGTCACCAATACGACATATATGTTAACTGGTTAGTGGATTTAGATGTTATAAAACGTTAAGGTTATGTTTGGTTGCAATGCAATTTTATTTGTACTGATGCAAAGTTATGGTAGTGCAAATGATTTCAATGAAAATCATGATTTATTTTTATTTTAAAATTTATCCTGTTTCGTTTAATTATAATACAAATGAAGTAAAATAAGACCTCAAACAGAATAAGGTAAAACCTAAAACAAAATTAAACCAGAATTTGCATTATTTTCATTTGCACTCTCAAGCATTTGTACTAGTGCAAATAAAGTTGCATTGCAACCAAATACAACCTAAAAAACGATGTCACAAAACCCTATCAAAAGGTAGGCCAAAAAGAAAAAAAAAATAGTCGTTTATAATTTTAAAATACACGAATTTGCATATTAAGTATTGGTACTTTGAACTATGACTTCTATTGATGGCATAATCAATGGTGTAATTAATGTACAAATGTAATTTAAAAAAACTTATGGAAAATTTCAGATTAGTACCCTATACTTTGAGTTTAGTGTCATTTTGGTCTCTGGACTTTAAAATGTGTTAATTCAATACCTGAACTTTTAAAATGTGATAATCTAGTATTTGCTAGTGGACTGTTCATGTGATGTTATGTACAAATTAAATATTTTGAAAATGAAAAAATTACACTTCAAAACACTATTTATCAGCTACTTTCATGGAAACATGACACTGTTCATGTGTGTTGCATCCTGCTCATCATGAGCTGCAACTGCTTCCTCAAAACGATCCCGTTAGTAGCAGCCTCGGGGTTGTTCTTCACGTCCTCCACTACCCGATCCTCCCAACCTGATTGAGGTGAATCTGAATCCAATACTTAAACAGAAGCAGATATCAGGATCTGATCCTTCCAATGCCCAACATCATGGTTTCGGCAAAAATGCAGTCAATCTGAAGTCTCTAGCCCGAACAACATGCAAGTGATTTTAATTTCTATTTTAATTTAAAATTCCTCATATCAGGATCCTTCCAATGCCCAACATCATGGTTTGGCAGAAATGCATCAATCTGAAGTCTCTAGCCCGAACAACATGCAAGTGATTTTGTTTTCATGTTGTCAGGGGACCAACGTCACGTCCGCGAGAATTTTAAATTAAAAAAAAATTAAAAATTGGCCAGCACACTTCAAGACTGCAGCAACACAGTTTGATCCAAACAGACTCCTCAAGTTCCAGATTTAGAAGAGGATCCATAGAAATAAAGATGTGTTTTTTTTCCTCTGTGATTCTCTGCTTTTCTCGAATACCTTAAGGGTTGAGAATTCTCCACTCAAACTTTCACCTTGGTTTGAGAGCTCTTCGGGGTTGAAAACCACCAATGTAGGTGGATCAGTTTTCAGGGAGGTGGGTCTGAGAGCTCTCAATCTCTCTTCCATTATAATAGAGAGATGTTTCTTTTCCTCACAACCCATATAACCATCATCACTTCCTTCAAACCAACAAGGACAAAGGTGGGTATCCAAACCAGGGGACAACAACCTCGTCGTCTATTGCTTTCTTCCATTTCTTCTCATGCAAGCATGGCTTCCTTCCTCTTCTTCCATTGTTTCATCTGAGTAATATTAAAATTTAATTCTCATTTCTTTATTAAATGATTAAATCTAATGCTTTCAAAAATTTCAACTCCATGTTCTCTTTGTTTATTACCGAATCCCTACTTCTCGACAAGATTTCTTACGATTATACTCACAAAAATCTTCCTCTTCCCCACTTAATTTCCATTAATTAAGCTTCCACCCCGAGAATCAATGCCCGGATTTCCACTTTCTTTCCTTCCCAGAAGCCAGCCTGCTTTCTCAACTCTGGTCCAAGACCAAAAATGGAAAATAAGAATATTTATTAAAATTTACTCTGGAATTCCGAGAACAACAATGGCGCCCATGCATTATTTCCTCAAAAGGATTAGACCAAGATAGAATCCTTATCAATACTTAATCTGGCTCTCTGCAGCAATGGTATAGTTTGTGTAAGTGGGAAAATGTAGTGCAGGTTGTGGTAGCATAGGAGGTGGAGGATAGTAGTAAATGCTGCATGGTGGTTGGTACTGATAGCCTGTAACTGGGTAAAATGGAACAACCATTGCCTCTCCCTCTTCTCCAGTTCTGACTCTCTTTTAAGAGATTTTAGCTGATAATTGATAAAGAAAATTAGATGACACCCAAAGAGCATTTGTGTTCTTTCATATGCCATTTAACGTATGATTAACGGTAAATACTAAATTGACACCTTTTGAAAGTTTAGATACTGGCTTGACACATTTTAAAATTTGAGGACCAAAATACAGGGTACTAATATGAAAATTTTCCAAAAACTTAAGACTTGTGTCAATTGATATGAAACAATAAGGATTGAGATATACCTATGTATCAATCCATAGGGACTGATATGAAAGGAATGTACAATATCAGATCAAACCATCCACCTATGTGTTGTATCCATCCCTCAATATTTGAGTTCCCAAGTTCCTTCCATTTAGTGGCATTATCATAAGATGGGGATAAGTTTGGCTGTTTGAAAAAAAAAAGAAAAAAAAAAACAGTCAGTACTATTTTGAAGTTTTGTGTGTATAACACGTTAGTATGGGTGTGTGATAAAAGAGTAATTTCAAGAGTATGAGTCCCTCAATAATCTATGTCTGCACATCTCATGGTGGGTCTCAAACTTATGATGAGATGTGCAGAAACCAATCATGTTGGGATCAATATTCTTTCAATCAAAAAGACAAATACATAATTTAGTGGGGTAACATCTGTTTTTGTATTTGCAATCTTCTCAAAATAAACCAAACAATTTAGAATAGCTAGCTAACATGGAAATTCTTGATTTGGCCACATGGCCAAAGTTTTAAAAAACCGGACCGGAGGCTAAACCATTTTTGCCTCTAGGTTGCAAGTCATCAATTTGCCCAGTCGGATCAAATGGTTTAGACCATGCCATAAATATGTTTTAGATATGTTATATGTATTTTTATATTTAATTTATATTTTTAACTCAACTTTTAATTCTTTATTTATAAAAATATTAAAAATTGCAATTTGATGCCAAAAAAGGGGTTTTTTAGCGAAGTTAGCAGAGCAAGGTGCTTATTGCGCCTTAGGACGCATAGATCTTGAAAAGTTATCCAAAAAAAAAAACACCCCTATTAGACATCGAAGTGCAAAGTTATGGCCTCTGGAAGTTTTGCATGCATTGAGTGTGCAACCTACAACTTGGTCACCACGTCAAGCGGGTCAATGGTCGAATTGTTCTTGACCAAGTCAACGGTTTTTGATCATTTGACGGGTCTTGATTGAACCAAACCTAGAATCTTGGTCGGGTGATAGTTCGAATGATTCAACCAACCGGGTCAACGATGGATTGAACTAGCCGAGTCTTGATTGAACTGGTCGGGTTAGTTAGTGTCCAATTTTGAATTTCCTCAAGCAAATTAAATATTTTCCTTGTTCTTTTTCTAACTAAAAAATGGGAACTTCATTAACATCACTAAGGTCCATTACATAGAGGGGGATATAATTCACCGAGTTCAGACTTCAAAGAGTCCTATCAAATGAATGAATCCAAATTCCTCTTATGGATTTGAGTTGAACTCTTGCCTATTCATTTGCTCTGAAGTTTGACATCTGAAAGTGCAATAATTACAATAAGATGTATATTGGTATTGGTGAACTTTTCTTTCCTCTGAACTATGAAAGCAAAGAATGTTGTTCTGAACTCTGAATTCTAAATTCCGAAAATCATCAAATATCTATTTTGAACCCATATATTAGAGTTTTTGTTTGTCCTTTTGGGATATCATTAGAAAACAAAAAGTTGTATGATTGCACTTTAAGAGATAAGAGATAAGAAGAAGCGAACAACCAATTTTCTCTTAAAATTTAAAAATTCCTCTTAAAAGATAAGAAAGAAAAAACAAACAGGTCCTAAGGACTTGACTCACGCCAAAGCAATGGGGCCCACTCAATTAGATCTCAGCTACTTCCATCACTTGACGTCGAACCTGAGTCATACTGTCAACTTCCACTTCAGCCTCAACCTCGGAAGTGGGGATATGTCATATAGCCAAAGTTGTCCAACCAAACAGTTATAGACACTTGTCACACCTTGGGGTGCATTCTTGTCACTTTACAAGCCTCGGGGGTATTCCAGGCATTGCAACCTTGGGGCTTGTGAAGTGATGATGAGGTTCCCAAGGTGTAACGTGCCTGCAGCAGTTTAGTTGGGCAAATTTGGCTATATCAATGATCAATCCGAACCTCTTTGTGAATTTTGACAAATACCCATAGTATTTGTTAGCTATTCTATGATATTGGCTGATTATCAATTTTTTAGTTATCATACTTTTTTGGTAATAAAAAGGGAGGCAAGAGTCTTTCTCACCTCAATGGTCGCATGGACCTTCTTCAATTTCCTTTTCTTATATATATTTATTTATATGAAAAAAGTCACCCATGAATGGTTAAAATGGGTCACTGATCTGACAGGTTTTGATGAACCCAGCAGTTTGACCCGTTGGATTAATAATGAATTGAAAACACTGAGTTGCATTGGGTTACATGGGAGTGTTGGAAAAATGTGATAAAATTGTTTATATTTGTATTTGAGAGGGGTTCCTTTTATTGCAGTTGGGGTTCAAGGTATTGATAAGTATGGATACATGTATCATATGATACATATTTGTATTTTAGGCTCACGGGTACTAAGGGTTAATTTATTCTGTTTGTTTTAAATGTTATTAAATGATAAGATACATCTATTGACAAAGTATTAGACCATTTTTTAAGGAAGAGTTTTGACCGAATAAAACCCTATCAAGAATATTAATACTTTGAATCTTGATTCTCCAATGCGATGCCTAATGATGTATATGTATTTGAATTTATGACAAATTACTAATGATGTATATACATTTGAATTTATGACAAATTATTATGAACATAGCACAATATTGATAATATTTAAAAATAAAAGCATAAATTAGAAACAACTCTAACTTTGTAATTTGGCCAATGCTAGTATGCTACAGTAAAATTGCTGCATTGTGGCACTATTACATTGCTCCAATTAAGTTACATGAGAAAGGAAGGAATAGAAGGCCACGTAAAGCAAGCTGGATGAGAAATACCATACTTAGCCTGTTAGCCAATATATGTGCTGCTTGATTGCAATAACATGGTATATTTTGCCAAGAACGAACATTGAAAGCAGTAGTTAGGGGTGTCAATTGGATTGGATTTGGTCCAATTCAATCCAGTCCAAAGTTCAATGTGAGCCCATTACAAATGGATCAGGTCTAATTCAATCCAATGAATATTTTGGACCATTTTGGATCCATCCAAATCAATGAATAGATTTTTCAATCTGTTCAAATTTATTTTAATTTAGATTGATTTCAACCCAAACCTGGTTCATTGACACCTATATTCTTATCTTATATCAATGGATTAGATATTAGTTTAATTCAACCCAATTCAATATAAATTTCTTATGAACCAATCAGGTCTAATTCAATCTAATAATTTTTTTTGGACTGGATTGGTCCAACCCAATATGTCTTGTTGGTCTGTTCAATCCGTCCAAATTGATTTTGGACTGGACGACCGGTCCATTGACACCCTTAACAGTAGCTAGTCACTTGCTCTCAGCTACTAACCACGTAGCCTCCAGGCCTTCTCAAATGAGAAATGACTCTACCTGGTTAATAGATCCAACATTTGATGATCTCGTGCCAATGCCAATACCCGAATGGCTTGCAAAGCTACCTCTGAATTTGGTCGTGTAGATGACTCCAACATTGTAGCTCTTTGTATTTCATTGCATTGTGTAGTTGGGAGTGTGACTAGTGTAGGAAATCAGACCAGACTGGCTGATTGATTGAATTGTGATGGAGGCTTTAGCTGATTTGGTCACATCCCAAGTAGGGCTGTTCACGGGTCAGGTTGGATCGGTTTACTAGCGTTTTTCCAACCGACCCGACCTGGTCGGTTTACCTAGAAATGAAACCGAAACCAATCCAGTACTAAATAAAACCGACCTAGTCGATTTGAATCGGTTTGGCTCGGTTTTGTGAATGATTCTCTCGGTGTGAACGGTAAAGGATTCAAGTCTAAGAAAGCAAAGGTTGGATGCCTGGAAATTAAAAATGATTTGATGGATTAAAACTGTTTTTTTATATATCAGAAATTTTATATATAATATGTATATTTCTGAAATATATATATATAGACCACAAATATATGTCTGAAATATAATATATATTAAAACTGAAATATATATATATATATATATCTGAAATATTATATATATATATATATATATATAAAATATATCTAAGTCGGTTCGGGTCGGTTTGGTTTCGTTTTTCACACATGAAAACCGAAACCAAACTGAACCATCGATTTATGTTTTTTGTAACCCGAAACTGACCAGTACTGAAGAAAAACCGGCCAATTCGGATTGGATCGGACCAGGTTAGTCGATTTGATCGGTTTGAGTCTTGTTATGAACAACCCTAATACCAAGAACTAGAATTGTTAAAATTTTGGTGAAAACCGGTTGACTAGCTGGTTTAATTATAAAACTGGTGGACTGATCCCAGTTTCGTGGAATTGCCTGGATCATTAAATAATTGAAATTTGAAAACGCATGTAACAAGAATTTAACCATGACCTTTTACTTTTAGGGTAATTTTTTTAAAATACCTTTATGGTTTGATTAATTGACTAAATGTATTCTTATTATTTAGAAATTAATTAATACTGTTTCTATTATTTCTGACAATTGATTAAATCTACCATTACAGTTAAGATTCATTAATATTCCATCAAAACTCATTTGCACGTGATATATATTTTTAAAACATAATTTTACCCTCCACCTCCCCCCTCTTTATCTCTCCCTTCTTTTTCCTGTTGGGTCAGTCCTCTCCCTCCCTCTTTCTCTACTGTGCGCTGCTCTGGTTAGATCGCCACCGACAACCTCTTTCCTCTCGCCGTCAAAAACCTTGTTGCAGGGTAGTGGTATTCCTAAGCTTAGAACACTTCTAGTGTTCAGCCGCAAAATATTTGGGAAGGAGATTGCTCGAGAATTTGTGGGAATCCCAAAAAATGAAGCTATTACGAGCTTTGCTCGAGAAGACAATTGAGTCGGTTGCTAGGTCCTTGACCATATCATAGGTCTTCTTCAAGAACAAAGGAGGACCTGTGTCATGCAAACCCTCCATGGGTTGCAGCGGCAAGACTGATGAAGATTTTTTAGAAAACGATGATGAAGGCAATACCCCGTTTTGCATTCCTCTTCAAGTCAGATGATGAAAATTTTTGAGAAATCTTTTTATTTTTATTTTTTGAGAATCTGAGATTTCCAAAAGCCCTAGATCAACAAATCTGAGATTTCCACCTTTGCGTTTTCCAGCAATCTGAATTGCCTAAAAAACTTGTCGCTGCTCCTCTCCACCCGGTGCCATTTGTCGTTTTCTTCATGCTCCCTACTCCTCTCTCCACTAATCTGCAAGACCCTTCCCTCCTCTACTTCCACCTTCACTTCTTCCTTCTTCAGCCCTGGAAGATCAGCCTTGAATATGTGTGCTTCTGGGTTTCCTTCCAATTGATGCGGGCATTGACGAAGGCAAAGGTTTCTCAAGCCAAATTGGGCACAGAGCTGAGGGTTGTGCTGAAAGGGAAGCCCTCGAAGGGGTCCCAAATATCCAGAGAAAATGGGTCAAAGATGTTGCTTCATTGTTCGCCGAAGATGCTAGGAATGAGCAACATTCTTCTTTGGTGTTGTTGTCTTTAGCTTAGAAATGTTGGACTTAACAGAAACTTGGATGCTGATTATAGAATATGAAACCAAGACTGGAATATTGATGAGAAAGCTTTTGAGATTGGTAATTGACAATGAATTTAGTAGAGAATGTATTCCATATTTATAGGCATGGAGAAGGTAGGTCTCAAATGTTCAGTGTCTTTCTCACCATTTCTAGATATCCGATCGATCTGTATTCTTTTAGCTCCAAAGAAAAAGCCCAATAGAGGTTACCAAATTCCGAAGAAGAAAAGGAGCCAAAGCGGTGGCTGAGTTCTCCATCATCATCCTATCCTATCTATCTGGTTCTGGTCTGAATGTCTGATTCTTCTTCCTCCGCCGGTATCATTTCTGAACTACATTATTTAGTAAATTTATGTATCTGTGTAAATATGGGTTAGACCGCCATCGACAGACTCTTTCCCCTCGCCGGCAGAAACGGTAGCGGTGTTCATAAGTTCAGAACACTTGTAGTGTTTAGCCGCAGAAACCCTTCCTGCCCAAGTCTTTAAAGTCTCTAAGCGATGTTATTCTTTTCCCTTTTCCTTGTTTTATTTTAAAAATTTGAAAAAGAATAAAGGGTAAAATCATCTTTTTTATCTTTCTATTAACGGGCACTAACGGTAAGGAAAATATTAATCAATTGTCAGAAACAGTGTGGGTAGTGTTAGTCAATTTTTAGACAGTAAGTGTACACTTAGTCAATTAGCTAAACCATAAGAATAGTTTAAGAAATTTACCCTTATTTTTATGTATTATCTAATTATCATTAATTAGTTTATTTTTAATCATGTTAATTAATGACTCTTTATTACATTAATGACTCTCTATTATATACATTACTTTCTTAATCATGTTAATTATCATTACTTTATTACTTTATTACTTTATTACTTGAACCAACCAGTGGTCATTTGCTTTAAAAATTAAGGAACTTGTCATTCATGCACCACATTTTAATATAATTAAAATTGTAAAATATTATATAATATTTATATGATTCATAGTATATATACATATATGTTCACCAAAAAAATAGTACATATGTGTATATGCCACATCATCATGGTTTGACCTCTAATTTGATCCCGATTGAACTTTTGACCCATAAGTTTCTCTCTTTTCCTATTTTATGCATGGTTTGGTTCTTTGAACATTAAGTGTGATAACTCTCTATGGGTTGAACTCGTTGTAGCCAAAAACCACTCTATTGCACTCCTTCCAAATATACCAAAATAAAATAACCACTTTGTTGAGTCTAGATCTCTTGCAAGCAAAAATCCTGCTCACATAGTGTCCTATCACACATTGAAAATATATTCCAAATATTTATGTTAAATTCATGGGAATATATTCCTAATATACGACGGGATCCCATGCTTTCACAATGTATAGATTTTTTGCTTAGAGAGAATATTCCTAATATATGGTGGAATGATCCCATGCTTTCACAATGTGTATAGAATTTCTGTATACACATACAAAAAACCCATGCCAAAGCTAGACTAGTTGAATTGCTCTGCTTTGAAAAAATAAGCATATAAGAGATTCATTCATCTTCTTGTTCATACAATGGGTAGGATGAGTTGCCCATCTTTTGCCAATTCCGCTTTCATCAAATACACTAGTAAAAGTGCATGCACTTTGCTGTGGAAAAATTTGATGATGGTGATGATGATAGTTTTCAAAATTTTCTACATTTTTTTCTATAACTTTTTTATATTTTTGTATGTAAATATAATTCTAATATGCCACACTTACTTTTTGTTTAATATGATAAATATATGATATTAAACATGTGTATAAATGTTTTTTTTGCAAAATTTATGTGTTTTTATATTTCATTAACTTTTATTATTTATGACATTAAAGGTTAACATGTTTGACCAAAAATTTGAACTATTGATGAATTGATCTTTGCAAAATAGTAAAATAATTTTATTTTTGGTCAATTCTAAATTATGTATTTCATTTTCATTACCATTAAAAATAATTCATGTTTATTACACTTTTTTCATTTGATTAATATAAATATCATAGATGTGTCTAATTTTTTCTATATTTTTTTAAGTTTCTATATTTATTTCTATTTTAAAAAATTTTATTATCTAACTATGAATTTGTAGGTTGATCAATTTGATTTGGATGGTTGAATTACTAAGTCACCACTTAGATTAAAAATGGTTTTGTTTTTGAGTTAGTTTTAAAATATATGGGTTTATGTTGTTAAAAATATTGATAAAAATGGTTTTGTTTTTGAGTTAGTTTTAAAATATATGGGTTTATGTTGTTAAAAATATTGATACATATATAATTTAATAAGAGAAAATGGGAGTTAATAATATAAGACTTAATGAGAGAGGATTAAATGACGTGGGAAATAATAATTGAAGTTACATTTTCAACCTTACCATTAGAGATGGACTAAATACACAATTATGGGCATTTTAGTAGCCATTAAAATAGGCATTGAAGCTGTAATAAAATGACTTATACCCTTTCTCAAGCAAAAAAGTAGAGGGTAGTTTTAGTCCAAAAAAATTTCATATTGCATTCACACTTTTATATATAGTATAGATTTTTTATACTTTTGTGTGCTTTATCTTTTTAATTATTATTATTATTATTTAATTATGACATCAATGATTCACACATTTGAACCCAAAAAGGTCGAATTGTTGATTCACCACCAAATAGGAAAATAACTCTATATTTTTTTGGTTTTAAATTTGTATTATTCTATTATCATTAAAGATAAGTATTCTTTATTATTATTATTATTATTATTATTATTTAATTATGATATAAAGGGTTCATGTATTTGACCAAAAAAGATTGAATTGTTGACTTGCTACCAAATAGGAAAACAAGGGTTCATCTATTTCTTATTGGTTTTACATATGTATTTTATTTTTATCATTATTAAAAATGATTATTGTTTGTTACACTTATTTTTCTTTACTAATTAATATAGGATCCAATGAATGTTAGTGGAAGTTAATACCTTAAAATAATGCTTAATGAGAGGATTTGAATTAAGAGAAAAGTGATTATTCAAATTACATTTCTATCCTCACAATTAGATAGGAACCAAATTCAAAATTGTAGGTATTTTAGTGAAACAAAATTTCCACTCTCATTCCATTCATACTCTTAATTTAAATAGTAATCATGCATGTGCTTTGCACTTGGCAATTCTAGATGATGATAATGATAGAAATAATGTATCAAAAATTTTATATAAATATATATTTTTAATTTTTTTGTTGCATATTCAGATGCAAATTGCAAAAAACAAACCTAATTACATAAACACCTCATCCAAATATGTGATAATCGAATCGAGTTTTGAAGTTTCAAGTATCATTGACAGGACTACCTACTCGGCTAGATTCTTTTTTTTTTTGTAATGTTTTTATCTTTTGGTGTATCCTTTTTTTTGTTCATTTATCAAATAAATGTAATCTCTAAATAGAAGGAATTAAATGAGATGAAAAGTAGTAGCTCAATTTACAATTTAAACCTCACAATTAAATAAGGATTAAATTAAAAAAAAGAGTATTTTAGTCAAAAGAAAGTTCCATAATATTATTCATATTTTTTATGGTAGTATAAATATTGAATTATAGATGTATTCAATTTTTCTACAATTTTTTGTTGTATTTTTGTGTGTAAAAATGAATATGATATGCCACACTTACTTTTTGTTTAACATGATAATTATATAATATTATACATGTGCCTAAATGTTTTTTTTTTTGCAAAATTTATGTATTTTTTATTTTTATGTTTTGTTATTTTTTATTGTTTATTTATGATATTAAATATTAACACATTTGACTCAATTGAATTATTGATCTTTGCCAAAGAGTAAAATATTTTCTTTTTTGGTCAGTTCTAAATTATATATTTCATTTTCATTATCAATAAAAACAATTATTATTTATTACATTTATTTTTTTTTAATTTGTTTAAAAAAATATCACAAGTGTGTCTAATTTTTTCTATATTTTTGTAAATTTTAATTTATTTATATTTTAAAAATTTCGTTACCTAACCATGATTTCATAGGTTGATCAATTTTATTTGGATGGTTGAATTGCTTAGCCACCACTTGAGGATAAAGAATGATTTTGTTTTTGAGTCAATTTTAAAATATATAAATTTATATTGTTAAAATTATTAATATAGATTTAATTAATAATATTTATTAGTGAAAAATAACTTAAATATAAAATTTAATAAGAAAAAATAAAAATTAATTAGTTAAATATATATATATATATATATATTAATAAGTTAAATATATATATATATATATATATATATATATATATATATATATATATATAGAAAATAGTATTCATTGTTGAAATTAAATGGACTGACTTTGGATACTATAAATTATATAAAACACGTCAGTGATCCGTATCTATTGTCAAAATTGACAAATGTACTTTCAACTGACGTGTTTATTTCTTATTCGGTGTTTCTAAATTTCAATTCCATTTCCACGTCTGGTAGAATGGGGTGGGCACAGATTTGCCCTGATGGAAGCCGGTCGTACCAGGTCCCAGGAGATCCGGAGTGTTCGTTATTCGCTTTTCGGGTGGGTAACATGTTTGTCATTTCCTTGAATCGAAAAGGACAAATCAGCCATTGCGTCAATTTTAAATCGATTACTGGAGCAAAAGTGCAAAAGTATTCATCTGCTGACGTGGCGGAAAACGGGAGAAATGGAATCGAAAAGAAAAAAAACAGTTAAAATATGGGGCAACCGGAGGGAGCGCGGTGCACGTTAAGGCGCGAGGGATTAGTCCTCGTAAACCTTCGATTTTCTTCGTTTTTCGAAGCTTTGATTGATAAGTAGAGACTATTCAGATTATGTAATATCTTAACTTATCTGAAACGAAACTGGTAGTTCTCCTTTCCATTGTTCTTTCTGATTGGGGAGCTAAACGATTTCAGATTCGTAAAATATGGCTGACTATGGCGGATATCTCAATGCTTTTTTTCTTCTTTTTTGGCATTGAAGGTATAAATCTTCCGCATTGCCACAATTTTCAGTTTTTAAGGTTTCAAATGAACATTTCAAGTTTAAATTGCGAGACTTGAAGGAATCCCAGCAGGTTTTAGACGAAATGCATAAGATGTCAGGGTTCGATCGAAGGGATTCAAGCTATTTTAGAGCTAAGAAGTGTATTTACATATAAATTTCTGAAGAATTGAAGGAGGTTGATAGAGGTGATGATGAAGTGATCCTCTTTCCGTTCCATTTCTCCATTTGATGTACACTTGAGATTAGAATGCAAATATTTGTGTTTTGAATAATTTCATATATTCTACCTAGTTGCTGGCTCTCAAGCAAATCTATTGGCGCCACTCGGATGAGCGCGAAATGTCACTGCTAGAGGTATTCTATCGGATGTTTGTACGCGCTGAGATTATTGACGAAACTAATGATTCATTGTTGTTATGGAATAAATGAAGAGCTCGGTTTTCAAATTTTAAGCACAAAAGCGCTCGGGAGGTTCTTTTATGGGGCGGATTTGCACATTGTTGTCTTTTTACCTTCCAGATTGCTCTTCAAATGGGTTCTATTGTGCGAGGGAACTTTTTCTGAGATTGCAACGTGAATGGCTGATTTCCAGAGGGGTTTCGCTGCTGGGAGGGATGTCGAGCAGGTGATGTGTTTCTTAATTGCTCGTTTAGCTCCCTTTATTCTTCTTTTCTTGGAACTTACGATTTTATGAGACTATTTTTTTTTTTCTTTTAAGTAAGCTTAATGTTGGGAAGTCATGAAATTTTTAAAGAATACGACAGTGCATTTGATTGTCACACTGATCAAGACTGGAAAATATTACGAGTTCCAAAAACAGTACGGATTATATGTACTCCAATTTTTTGTTATATGCTCTGCCGTCTGAACTTTGTTAAAAAGCATAGTTTGCTTTGGCACTTTTTTTTTTTTAAATAATAAAATAGACAATATCAATAAATGATTTTTTTAAATGTTCATAACAGACAGCTTGTTTTAGTGTTAAAATTTATATCTGTAGGGTATATGTCTCTCACTCTGTTCTAAAACTCATAAATAGAAACACCAGAATTTTTTGCTGGTCCAGCAGCTGGAACTTCTGATTTGGTTGGGACTTCCAGATTCAACCTTTTCTTATCCTAACAACATAAAAAATTCATGCTAACCATCTCATAAAGGACATTTCAAAGGAGGAGCCACATTGGTATTCAACACTTCAATTTTAAGTAGAAAACCCAACATCTGAGTTGCATATTTCCTCTATTACAAATAAAGGTTGCTGAGAAGAATCTTAGTTTTATCATGTGCTAGTAAGGGCCTGGACCTCTTGGCTATGTTTTTATTGGAAATTCCAAAGTCAATTCTTTAAAGTCAGAGCTGGTAAGTCAATGTAGAAAACTATTAGTTGTAGATTACTATCATGGTTATTCAATAACTGAATTGAGTTATTGATACTTAAATTTGTAGTAAGCTTTTCCTATATCTACATTTATACTACTGAAATGAAAATGTATTCTGCTGATTATCTTGCCTGCAATCAAATTTGTATTCATTCTTAAGCATGGATGGTGAAACCATGATTTTTGGGTTTTTGCTTCCTAACCTTTTGGTAGAGAACAAAGTCCTATAGAGATTGTGATGTAGGATAATGAAAAGGAGTGTGTGGTCCCTGCAATTTAATGGGGACAAAACTTAAAGAAATTCAAGCGAAACTGCATAAAATGAATCAGGATTGGGGTTTCTAGTAGGTATACTCTAGGCATCTAGGGGATGCAATTGTAATTTAATGGTAATAGATGGATACAACTTGATTAATGTCTAGGACCGCATTGTAATTTAATGGTAATAGTAGATTAGCTTGTTCTCATCAAATAGTGTCTACAATACTCTTAAGAGTTTTACATGCAATAAGTAGAAGAAGAGAAAATAGCAATCTGATTTGATAACTGTGAAAAAAGAAGAAAGAAAGAAAGAGTTTGTGATGAGAAGAGAAGAGGAGAAAGAGAAGAAGAGATGGGGAGAAGCCAATAATGGTCTAGCCGCCCCACTTATGCCCTTCATAGGGCGGCTACTGCTGATAACACAAAAACAGTCCCAAAGGACAATATAAACTAATGGGCCTTGGGCCCAATAAAACTAACTAATGACCTAACAACACTAACTACTGATTATGAACAAGAAAAAAAAGCAAAAACACCATTGAATCTCAACACTCAACACTCCCCCTCAAGTTGGGAGTAGATGTCACACATTCTCCACATATGTAGATCATGTTCAGGCTTGTTTCTTGCAACTCCTTTTGTATCAGCTAGCTATAAGTTAGATGCAATATATGGTAGACACACTTTTCCAAATATCATCCTTTCTCTCATGAAATGTCCTGTCCACCTCTATATGGTTTGGTTTGTCATGCTAAATTGGGTTATGAGCAATGTTAGTTGCTGCTTGATTATCACAATACAACATCATAGGTTCTTCTGTATTAACTCAAATATTTCCTAACAAGGACCAAACCTAGAGAAGCTCTGAAACACCATGTGCCATAGCTCTATATTCAGCTTCATCACTTGACTTGGCTACAACTGATTGCTTATTACTCTTCTATGAAATTAGATTGCCTCCAACAAGAGTGCACACTCCTGATGTAGATCTCCTATCATCTGGTTGTGTCATGCACAAGTATAACAACTAGTCCACCAATCTCTGATACCTCCCAACATCCTTTACTAGTTCACCATCTGAAGCATTAGTTTTGTGATTCTGGTCAATGGGTGTATCAATAGGAACTGAAACATTAGAGGGAGCAAAAGGCATACCTAGGTCTGTGTTAGCTGAATCGATAGAAGTGACGTGGGTTCTTTTGGTGTGGAATCAACCTCTTTGCGTTGTTGTAGGTAAAGGAGCTAGAACAGGAAGTGGTGTAGGCTCCTCATTTCCTCCCCCAAAACACTCCCTCTAAGAAAGATTCCTAGAAAAGAAGGGTGTAGACTCAAACAGTGACATTCATGGTAACATACTACCTCCCTGGCACAGGATCATAATTACTATACCACTTTTGATTCCCTGCATACTTGAGGAATACACACTTCTTTGCCTTAGGATCCAACTTAGAGAAATGAGGACCAAGGACATGGACAAAGCATACACATCTAAACACCCTCAATGGAATATGGAATTTCTCGGCCTCAGGAAAAAGAAGACTAAACAGAACAATGTATCCAAGAACACAAAAAGGTACCTGATTAATCAAGAAGACTGCTGTGAGAACTACATCACCCCAAAACTGAATTGGAACCGTAGAGCTCACCATAATACTTCTTGGCACTTCCACAATATATTTGTTCATCCTTTCTGCTACGTCATTCTATTGTAGAGTATATGTACAACTACTTTGATGGACTACACCATGCTTTAATAAATATGGTGCTAGGTTTTTCTCAAAATATTCCCTAGCATTTTCCAATCTGAACACCTTAACTCATACTTTAAACCGCATCAACATCATATGATGAAACGGAAAGGAATGCAAGAATATTCAAGGACAGGGTTTGCATCTTAACTAGGGCCATTCATTGGCTGAGAACTATGGACCTGTTTCATACTTTTTCCTTTGATGATTTTTGGAGAAATTGGTTAGTGGTGGCTAGCAGCCATACAAGGGCAGGGTTTCTGCAGTGTGGACCCCTCTGCCTGAAGGATGGGTAAAGCTGAATTTTGATGGCAGCAGCCAAGGAAACCCAGGCCCATTGGGAATAGGAGGGGTGCTAAGAGATACGAAGAGCAATATATTAGCCTTGTTTTCAGGTCCTGTGGGATTAGGAGACTAATAGAGCTGAGATTTTGGCGGCGGTACAAGGTATTCAGATTGCAGAACAATTAGGAGTTCAGCATTTGGTAGTTGAAGGAGACTCTCAAATTGTTGTGGGATGGCTGACAGATCCAACTTCAGCCATGTGGCGACACAAAGATTTATTAAGGAAAGTCAACTGGTTTACAAGAAATATGACAGTTACCTTTTGTTGGGAGGGAAGATCAGCAAACACCTTAGCGGATAGATTAGCTAAGCAGGGGGCTACTAGGGAACATTTATTTTGGGTTGCTTTGTAATTGTATTTATGACTAATTCTGTTTTTTATTTGATGTAATACTGCCCTGAAGAGGTAACAGCTCGTGCCTCTTTTGAGTTCCCTGTACTGCCTTTTCTGAATTAATAAATTATATTCATTCATCAAAAAACATCATCTGATGAAACTATTGTACCAAGGAAAGCACCTCATCATGAGATCTAGGGGTGAGCAAGAAAAACCGAAAAATTGAATCGACTGAAACCGAACTGAAAGTTCAGTTAACCAAACCGGTTGGTTTGGTTTCGCTTAACAAAAATAGAAAACCGGCAGTTAACCGAACCGACCGGTATACATATATTTATATATATTATATATATTTTATATTTCTATACATTATAAATTAATAAATATGCATTATATAAATATATATATATATATATAATATAATATACTATTTATTATTTAAAATATAATAATATATATTTCTAGTGTTTTATTATATATAAATATAATATGTATTGAAAATAATAGAAAACCGATGAACCAAACCAGTCAACATGTTAATTGATCGGCTTCGATTTGGTTTCGGTTACCGGTAACCCCGGTTCGGTTTGAAAAATAAGCCCACGGTTTGGTTAACCGAACCGTGAGCACCCGTAACGAGATCTCATCAAATATACCCAAGAATACCGTGAATAATCATCCACAAGTAGAAGAAAATAATGGTAGCCACCTAGAGAAGGAACATGATATGGTCCCTAAACATCAATATGAACAATATCAAAAGCTAGAGAACATCTTTTATTACTTGCCTTAAAAGAATGTCTACAATGTTTTCTAAGTTGACAACCTTCACACTCCAAATTGGACAACTTAACATACTTAAACAGTTTTGGAAACAAAAAACACAAAGAACCAAAAGACAAATGCCCTAATCGATTATGCCAAAGCATAACTTGATCCACTGACTTTGAGTCATTATTCCTACTGCTGACATGATGACTGGGAAGCACATCGAGAAGGTAGACTCCATTCACCTTACGACCACTTCCAATTGTCCTCTTTGACTCCAGATCCTGCAAACACAATGACCATGGGAAAAAAATTACTGAACAATTCAAATTTTTTGTCAAACTGCTCACAGATAAAAGATTAGTACTCAATCTAGGAACATGTAGTACAGAAGACAGGGTAATGGTATCAATTATTTTAACAACCCCTTCCCAACAATGGAAACATGGAAGCCATTAGTTGTGGAAACTTTATCTTTACTGGAGTAGAGGTGGTATGGGGAGAAAATGGTTAAAACATTGGTTATATGTCGTTCCAAGGTGTGGAAACATCTGTTTGGAGAAGATTTTACCCTTGAGCCTGCGAACTCTTTGGAGCTATGAAGAGCTTGGGAATGGGAGGAGGTACCTCGAGGGAGGTGAACGTCTTGACCAAATTCAGAGAAGAACCTGTTCCACATCCAGATCAAGGTCAAGGTGTCAATAGTTCGAGTTTGTTCTCTCCCAAGTCAAATGGCAAAGAAATAGGCAATCCCTGCTCCCCTGTTAGTGCAACACAGGTTGATCTT